TAATTCCAGCACTCAGGAGGCTGAGGCAGGCAAGTTGCCATGAGTTTGAGGCCAGCCTAGGCTACATAGCCAATGAAGTATGTATATAGTTCAGTGATACAGAATTCATTTACCTGGTTGTGAGACCATCACCACCATCCAAGCTACATTTGTGTTTTAAAGAGACGATCTTGATTGCAGGTTTGAGAGTAGACTAGAGGAGTGAAAAGTTGTTGGGAAACTTCATGGGAAGCCACATACAAAATAGAGTGCTGGAATGTTCTGCATGTCCTGTGAATTGTTGGCTGCCAAGGTACCACAGGGGCAAGCAGGTGTGCTGGAGTCTGAGGAAAGGCTTCCTCTTCTCTGGTGTCACTTCAGCACCCTCTACAGGGAAAAAATGAAAAAATAGCCTTTGAGCAGGCAACCATGTCCGCTGTGTCCAACACTCCTTCAGGAACCACAGAAATGATGTTCGCGATTCTGTTTTAGTGACCAAACACTAGACTTAACCTAATTATGACACTAGTTATTTGATCTTGGATAAAGCCCCGTAGACTCCTTGATTTGGTAAAATAAGGGAACTCACTATGAATCCAACGAGTTTGTTGAAAGTTGATTCTAGGAAGTTTTATTTTTGTTTGTTTGTTTTTTGAGACAAGGTTTCACTGTATAGCCCAGCCTGGGCTTGAACTGATGGTAGTCCTGCTTCAGCCTCCCAAATTCAGGGATTATAGGTGTGCATCACCACACCTGGCTTCTAGGAACTTTTTTTTATTATTTTTGGTACTGGGCATTGAACTCAGGACCTTGCGCTTTCGAGGCAGGCGACAGAACCACTGAGCTAAATCCCTGGCCCTCTAGGAACTTTTAATAGCAAATATAAAGCAATTTGAGCCTCAAAACAAATTATAGTAGATACAAGTTAAAGTATATCTAGTAAAGCCAGGTGTGGTGGCGCAGGGCTGTATTCCCAGCACTCATGAGGCTGAGGTGGGAGGATCACCACAAGTTTGAGGCCAGCATGAACTACAAGTAACATCTTGTTTCAAAACAAACAAACAAACAAACAAACAATCCCCAGTGCCAGGGCAGGAAAAAGCCCTTCTTCTGGAAATATTTTGAGGTTTTAGTGAGAAAGAAAAGAATTAGAGATTGGCAAGATATTGGAGACCAGTGATTTGAGAGTTGTCAGTAAAAGTATTTTTTACAGGCTTGAGGGCCAGGGATTTAGCTCAGAGGTTCCGCTGCTGCCTGCCTCGAAAGGGCAAGGTCTGGAGTTCAATCCCTGGTACCAAAAAAAGAAACAAAACAAAAACAAGCTTGAGAATATTGTCTGACAAAAGTGATGTACATAGGGACCGGGGATTTAGCTCAGTGGTTTCGCTGCCTGCTGCGCAGGCGCAAGGACCCAAGTAACCCCCCCCCCCAAAGTGATGTACATAAATGCTTATGTATGCATAGATATCTCCAGCAGGGAAAGAATAATGCTGTTCTCTGTATGGAGGAACTGGGAGGAATAAGGATGGAAAGGGAGAGTTTGCACTGAATACCTTTCATACCTTTTGGGTTTCGTACATGTGTAGATGTTACCTGTCCAAATATGTAATTTACTTTAAAAGATATTTATGAGTGCCAGGGATTTAGCTCAGTTCCGCTGCCTGCCTTGCAAGCGCAAGGTCCCAAGTTCGATCCCCAGTACTAAAAAAAAAAAAAGATACGGATGAGCTGGGAGCAGTGGTACAAGCCTATACAGTAAGTCCCTGACTTACAACCAAGTTTTGTTCCAGGAGAATTGTTCATAAGTCAGATTCATTCATAAGCCAACAAAGTGCGTCTTAGTACACATGTGAAAGTTCATAACTCATATGTTCATAAGTTTGGGACTCGCTGTAATCTCAAAATACTCAGAAGACAGAGACAGGAGGATTGCAAGTTCAATACCAGCATGGGCAATTTAGCAAGACTTTGTATCAATGAATAAATACATAAAAAGGACTAAGCATGTAGTTCAGTACAAGGCCCTGGGTTCAGTCCTTAGTACGTCTCTCATAGATATAAATGTTGATTTAAGTGCAGGAAATTATAATTCTTCTTCAAGGTCATCTAATCTGCCTTAGAGTGAAAATTGAAATTTTTTTTATACCTAAATCTTAGTTTACACATACTAGGGACTCTGCTTCTATATAAATTATTCTTATTTGGAATAACAGTATTATCCAAGAAATAGGGGAAAGGTGCTTTTGAAAGTTTTGGGCATCATTTATGAACTCTATAATTGCTACCTTAATATTTATCTTAATATTATCTTAGCAGTCTCCATGTTCATTTTTATCAACCGGGCAGCTTTGTTTTGCTGGTCTAAAGAGTTAAATATCATTGTAAACCTGTGTGGATTGTAATTGGTTTTTAGTGCTCACATTTTCTCTGGGTGCTCTAACAGTTGAATTGCCTCTTTGAAGAGGCCTAGCTGGCAGTGAATTTTGCTATTTTAGGGTAGAGTGGTTGATTTGAATTTTTCTTCTTTTGGACTTTGAGCATATTTGAATTGGCTAGTATTTCTGATGGGAGCCAATGGGGAAGTTAAAGGAAAGGAAAAGACAAAGAACTTCCTTTTATTCACAAAAGAGTTTGAGACCATCCTAGACTGCATGGCAGAGCAAGACAACATCTCAAAAACTTTTAAAAAATAATCTTGGTTAATTTTGGGTCTTTGTCTTTCCCTGTATGTTTTAGAGTCAGTTTATCAAATTCTACAAAAGTTCTTCTGGGGTTTTGAGTAGAATGACATTGATTTTGACTTTACAGTTACTTGGGGGAAGAATTAGCACCGTTATAATATTTAAAGTCTTCCTCTGTGAATGGGCTTGTTTTTACAGTTTTTAAAGTAATCTTTTTAATGTGATAGAATCTATTTCTATAATCTCTCCATTGAGGGGTTTATATCACTTTTGTTGAACTTATTTCTAAGTACCTTAATCTGGTTCATTGTTTAAAATTTTTTATTTTCTATCTTTTGTAATTATATAGAAATACAGTTGACTTCTATATATTGGGTTTGTATTTAATAATCTTGCTAAACTTTGCTAATTTCTTTTTGGTTTTCCATGTAAAAATGAAATTAGGTGAAATCAGGTGTAGTACACACGTAATCCCAGCTACTGGGGGAGTTGAGACAGGAGTATTGAAAGTTTGAGACCAGCCAGGGTAATTTAGCAAGACCCTGTCTTAAAATTAAATTTAAAAAAGGGCTGTCCTGGGCCAGGGATTTAGCTCAGTGGCACCACCCCTGCCTGGCAAGTGCAAGGTCCTGAGTTCAATTCCTGGTACTGGAAAATAAATAAATCAATAAAATAAAAAAAATTTTTTTAAAGGGCTGGAAATGTAGCTTAGTGGTTGAGTGCTTGCCTAGCATGGAGACTGCCCTGGATCCAATCCCTAGTTCCCCCCCACCCCATCCCAAAAGAAAGGAAAGAAAACTGCAAATAATGATAGCTTTGTTTCTTCCTTTCCAATTCATCTATCTTATTTTTTGTCATTTTACTATGTTGGGAAGTATCTCTGGCCTAGTAATGGAAGAGAAATGATGATACAAGGCGTAGTTTTCTTTTTCCTTTTTTAAAAGGGGAATACTTTAAACACTTTATCTCTAAATTAAGGGAAGGTGTTTGCTGCAGAATCGTGTGTGTGTGTGTGTGTGTGTGTGTGTGTGTGTGTGTGTGTGTGTGTGTGTGTGTTGCTGGGAACTCAAACATGGTAGGCAAGCATTCTACCACTGATTTATGCCCCCAGCCCCTGCTACAGATTTCCGATGTACACTCTTCATTAGGTTAAGACAGTTCCTGTGGGGTGTGGTGGCACATGCCTGTAATCCTAGCACTGGGGGGAGGCTAAGGCAGGAGAATCACCACATCACCACTCAGAGTTCAAGGCCAGCCTGAACTACAAAATGAGACCTTATCTCAATGCACTCCTCCTAAAGTTTCCTTTTATTCTTTGTTTGTGGAGATGTTTTTAATCATGAATAATTTTTTTTTTTTTTTGGTACCAGGGATCAAACTCGGGACCTTGCGCTTGTGAGGCAGGCAGTGGCACTATTGAGCTAAATCTCCAGCCCAGTCATGAATAAATTTTTAATATTTTCAAATGCAAAAACTAAAAATAATAATTCCAATAGTCTCCTAGATAGCTTTCTGAAAGAGTTAAAGACATCATATTACAGGGATGCATGCCTACCTATGTTTATTCTAGCACAATTTATAGTAGCTAAATCTTGGAAGTTGTCCATATTCCATCAAAAGATGAATGGATTTAGAAAGTAGTATTTATACACAATGGTGTATTACTGTGTCATAAAGAAGAATAAACTTAAGTCATTTGTAGGAAACTGGGTGCACCTTGAGACCATTAATACTAAGTGAAGTAAATCAGACAAATGAACTTAAATATCTCTTCTTTCTCTTTCTTTCTTTCTTTCTTTCTTTCTTTCTTTCTTTCTTTCTTTCTTTCTTTCTTTCTTTCTTGTTTGTTTTTGTTTTTCGAGACAGAGTCTCACTGTGTACTTCAGGCTGGCCTTGAACTCATTATGTAGCCTAGGCTGGCCTCAAAATCAGTGATCCTCCTGCCTCAGCCTCCCGAGTGGTAGGATTACAGGCATATACCACCACACCTGGCAAATAGCACATATTTTCTTACATGAAAAACCCAAAATGTAAAGAGCAAAATAAAAGCTAATAGGAAACAGACACATCTTTTGCAAAAGGGATGGGGGACCAAGAGGTGGAGGGAGAGGGGAAGGGGACAAAGAGAGTTAAGATGTGTTTTATACATGTACCAGCTCCCCATGAGGAATGTAATCATTATGTACTCCAGACATGTACTGTGCTAAAAAAAAAGATTGAAAAATATTCTCGAATCCTTTTCTGCATCTGTGGAAATTAACATGAAGATTTTCTTTTTCAGTCTGTTGCAATGCTGTTAGCTTGGAAGTAATACTTTCTGCTTCTGTTCCCACTCCCCAGGTGATCTGTGGAGCTATGATTTCTTCAGTGGTGAGTTTGTGGTGTCTCCGGAGCCAGACACGAGTGTCCACATTCTTGATCCCCAGAAGCACAAGTATATTATCCTGGGGAGTGATGGGCTTTGGAATATGATTCCACCTCAAGATGCTGTTTCAATGTGCCAGGACCAAGAGGAGAAAAAATACTTGACGGTGAGCAGTGACTCAATCATTTTTGTTAATACTGGGCTTGGAACCCAAGGGTGCTTTACAGCTGAGCTACATTCCCAGCCCTTTACATTCCGTCCCTCCCCTCCTTTCCCCTCCCCTCTTCTTCCCTTCTCTACTGTACTAGGGATTGAACCTAGGGGTACTCTTGACAGAGAGCTATAACTTCAGCCCCTTCTAGTTTTTGTTTTGAAGATAGGGTCTCACTAAGTTGCCAAGGCTTGCCTCAAACTTTAAATCCTCCTGCCTTAGCTTCTCATGTAGCTGGGATTAAAGGCATATGTTACCACACCTGCTCTCCTATCCTTTTCTTTTTTGGTGCCCTGCCCACCCATTTTTTTTTTTTTTTTTTGTGCTGAGGATTGAACCTAGGACCTTTGCTTTGAGCTACATCACCAGGTTTTTTATTTTGAGACATCTTCCTAAGTCACTCAATCTCCCAGGCTGGCCTAGAAGTTGTGACCCTTCTGCCTCAGCCTCCCAAGTAGCTGAGATTGTAGGTGAATGTCACAATGCCCAGCATCAGAAGTTGTCATATTAAGAGGAAATTGGCCTTTGCAATTAGTTTCTAAACATTCCCAATAGTCTTATTTGTGAATTATGTTCATTTGTTCATTCATTTATTCATTTTTCCTCATACTGGAGATTGAACCTAGGGCATTTGCACTGAGCTATACCCCAACCTCCCCCACCTTTTTGTTTTTTGAGTGTTTTTGGAGATGGGATGTCCAAGCTGGGCTTGAACTTGTTTTTGTGCCTCCAGAGTGCTGGGATTACAGGCATTTACTAACATGCCTGGAATCATAAAGTAACAGGAATACTGTTTCTTGGTTAAGAAGATAAGGATGCATGAGTGAAATTTAACCATAAGCCCTTGTGAATTAATGTTCTCCTGTTTTTTAAATAATAGGGTGAACATGACCAGTCTTGTGCCAAAATGCTTGTGAATCGAGCACTAGGCCGCTGGAGGCAGCGTATGCTTCGAGCAGATAACACCAGTGCTATAGTAATCTGCATCTCACCAGGAGTGGACAACCAGGGAGACTTCACCAATGAAGATGAGCTCTATCTGAACCTGACTGACGGCCCTTCCTACAATAGTCAAGAAACCTGTGTAACAAATCCTTCCCCGTGCTCTACACCACCAGTCAAGGTGGCTTTCCCTTTTTAAGTTATGTTTAATAGACAGAATTTCTTTGGTTAATGTTGCTGAAAAATAATTTTTAGATTCTTTTTTTTTTTTTTTTTTGGTACTGGGGATCGAACTTGGGACCTTGCACTTACAAGCAGGCATGGTGCCACTGAGCTAAATCCCCCGCCCTTTAGATTCTTGATAAAACAGGATTTTGGCTTTGAACTAAGTTCAAGAAAGTAATGGGTCTTTGTTATATAACTTACTGTCAGCCTTCTTTATATCAGTACTAATCTGAATGTCGAGTGTGTAGCATTTAATAGAAAAGTGATTGTGGCCTCTGAGGAATATTAATGTTTGGAATTTTATCAATTCCCTGCCAATGCTGTAAATATTTACAAAGCATTTAGAAGTTGATGAAACACTTTCATTTGTAATATTTCATTTAAACCTCTCAACTCCAATAGTACTGATTCTGTGATTCCATTTTATGAATATTAGAACTGGATTAAATATTTGAACTTAGATTAAACTGTCTAAACAGGGTTCTGTATGATATCATAGACCTTAGCCCTACTTGTTTATTAACATGGATAAGAAATTTTATTCCAATTCCTTATCCCTGTTAATGTGAATGAGTTTAAGATAGGCAGAGAAGGGGCCAGGGATTTAGCTCATTGACACCGCACCTGCCTTGCACATGCAAGGTGCTGAGTTTGATCCCTGGTACCAAAAAAAAAGATAGGCAGAGAAGCAAATTTAAATGGGTACCACATTTCCCATTTTCTGATTATTTAAGAACTCAAATAAAATATTTGGTTTTATTTTCATTTATATATTTTTTCCTACTACCAAAATCCATAGTAATGATAACTACATGCTTTTTTTTGAGACAGGGTCTCACTATGTAGTTCAGGCTGGCCCGAAACTCAGCCTCCCGCATGGTAGGATTACAAGCATGCACCACCATGCCCAGCAGAAAAATTTTTTAACAGTGAAAGACTTTTATTAACTCCCCTCAGAATACTCCCATTTGGGGAGGAGACTTCTTCTCATTTTGAACACTTTCCCCATCATTCTTGCCACTTTCTGAAGCAGTTTTTTGTTTGTTTTTTTTTTGGTACTGGGGATCAAATTCAGGACCTTGTGCTTGAGAGGCAGCCAGGCATGGTGCCACTGAGCTAAATCCCCAGCTGAAACAATTCTTTTGAGGTGGGTTGGGGGTTGAAATACAAGGTCTAGCTATGTAGTTCAGGCCAGCCTTGAACTCATTAAATATCTCAGGCTGGCCTCAACTGCTGATCCTCCTACTTCAGCTTCCCAAGTGCTAAAATTATAGGCATGAGCCACCACGCCTGCCTCTGGAAGTCCTCTTTTGTGTCTTTAGATGTGCATAGTTTGGCTGCTTCAGTATCCTGAATTGATTCAAAACATTTACTTTTCTTGGTCATTTTGACTTCAGAGAAGTGTCAGAATTTGCATGGTGCCAGATACAGAGAATAAGGTCGATGAAGACATACCATAATTTTTTTTTTTTTTTTCATACCAGGGATCGAACTCGGGCCCTTGCGCTTGTGCAGCAGGCAGCGAAACCACTGAGCTAAATCCCCGGGCCTATATTTTTTACAAGCCTACCTTTCCATTGGATGGTGTCAGGTAGCACCGTTCAATACATTTTTTATCATACCTCATAAAGACACTCATAAAAGAAAATTTCAAGAACTGCTTCAGAAAGTGGCAAGTAGCTGAGCATAGTGGTGCATGCCTATAATCTCAGCACTGGAGAGGGTGAGGCAGGAGAATTGCCATGAGTTCAAGGCCAGCCTGGGCTGCATAACCAGACCCTATCTCAAACATAAAAACAGGAAAAAAAAAGGAAAGAAGGTGGCGAGAATGATGAGATAGGCATGTTTGAAGTGGGGTAGGGAGAGGGTATTTTGTGTCTTTTACTATAATAAGTTTTTAAAAATTTAAACTCACCATATTTTTAAATCAGCTCTTGTATCTTTATTTTTGGTTACCTACCATAAACAGGAAGTATTTGTGACCACATGAATTTTAACTGATTTTGGATTGATTATTTTATTTCCTTTATTATCCCGAATGCAGGGTTCAGTGTCATATTACCTTTATGTTACTTTCGTCTCATCCAGGTTGCCCCCATAGATCCTTTCAAATAGTTCAGAAAATACACAGTGAACAAATGAGTGAATGCATATCATGTTTTTGACATCTTCGTGCCTTCTTAAGGAGCTTAGAATAATTTGTTTTACTTCTTGTTTTTTAGTCACTGGAAGAGGATCCATGGCCCAGGCTGAACTCTAAAGACCACATACCTACCCTTGTTCGAAGTAATGCCTTCCCAGAGAATTTTTTAGAGATCCCAACTGAGATAACTCGAGGGAGTGTCCAGGCTGTAGTCATATCCTCAAAAGATCCAGAGCCACTTGAAGAAAATTGCACTAAAGCCCTAACTCTGAGGATACATGATTCTTTGAACAATACCCTGTCAGTTGGCCTTGTGCCAACAAATTCAACAACTACTATGTTGGACCAAAAAAACTTAAAGATGTCTACTCCTGGTCAAATGAAGGCCCAAGAAGTTGAAAGAACCCCTCCAGCAAGCTTTAAAAGGACATTAGAAGAATCCAACTCCAGCCCACTTATGAAGAAGCATAGACGAAATGGCCTAAGTCGAAGCAGCAGCACTCAGCCTGCAAGCCTCCCCACAACCTCCCAGCGGAAGAACTCTGTGAAACTTACCATGCGACGCAGACTTAGGGGCCAGAAGAAAATTGGCAATCCTTTACTACATCAGCACAGGAAAACTGTTTGTGTTTGCTGAAATGTATCTGGCAATGAAGTTTTTCCGTGTTAGAATTTGAGGGCTTTTTAAATTTGGTGCCGTCGCCAGGTGGGGTGGCACACGTCTGTAATCCTAGCACTGGGGAGGCTGAGGCAGGAGGATTGCTGTGAGTTCGAGGCCAGCCTGAACTGCATTGCGAGACCCTGTCTCGAAAAAACAAAACATAAATAAATTTGGTGCGGAGTTGAACTTTTTTTTAAGGGGACAAAATAAAGAATATACAATTTGACCTTTTGGAATTTAACAGTTTTATTCTGGCCTTGTACTTGCTTGTATGATAAATGTGAATTTTGTAGATGTTAGGGTATAAGTTGCTGTAAAATGTGTGTAAATTTGTATCTTTCACACAACTAAGTCTCATACTCTGATATACAATAATTGTGAAAACAGGGCTAAATGTTTAAAAAAATCAAAAGAATCTATTAGATTTTAGAAATACATTTAAACTTTCTAAAATGCTTATTCACATTTTTGTATAAGTCATACGTGATGAAAACACCACCTTTTTAAAATAAATTATTAAGCAGACTGGAAAAGTGATGTATTTTCATAGTGACTTGTGTCCAACTTAATGTTTCCTAGAGACTCCTAGGGTCTTTTAAAAATTACTTTTATTTTTTATTTCTAATTTCATAATTCAGAGCTACATTTTTCATAGAAGTGTTGGGCCACGCTAAAGTAGTTGGATGTTACCCTCTGTGTTCCAATTAAAATACTATGCAGTATCTCTTTCTTCAGTAGCAGTTTTCTAAAACATCACCCAGATATACTCACTGAATCTTTGGCATAGAAGGTGTGTTTGCTTAAAATAGTGCCCTTCTCAGTCATCCCAGACCAGTGGCATTATTAGGTTGTAAAGTAGTAACCTTCTTCTAGTGTTTGCTTAAAATACGTGAAGTTTTTCTTGCTATTTCAATAACAGATGGTGCTGCTAATTCCCAACATTTCTTAAATTATTTTATGTTGTATGGTTTTCATCAATTATATGAGTATGTTTGTTCATGTAATAAATCAGTGAATAATTCATGTTGCTGGATTTTTGGTAGTGGTGATTTATTTTAATGGTATATAGTGTATTGTGCTAGGAACATGCTTTAGAGTAATAAAATACATAACACTCATTCTTGCACTCTGAATTTTTAATTTAAATATAGAATATACAGAACAGGCCAAATATCCAAGAATATGATTAAGTCAGTTATGATTTATGGGTATTTGGTAAAATAGTGATTAAAAATGAATGGCATTGTAATCCCAGCACTTGAGAGGGTGAGGCAGGAGGATTACCTGAGTTTGAAGCCAGCCTGGGCTAGGCTATGTAGTGTTTAAGTCCAGCCTGAACTACATAGCAAGACCCTGTCTCAAAAAAAAAAAAATTCAAAAAAAAAAAATATGCTTTGGTAATATAACAATGTAAAATACTTTGACCTTCCTTTTTTAAATTTCCTTTTTTTGAGGAGGTGGTACTGGGAATTGAACCAAGGGCCTTCACACATCCTCAGCCCTTTTTAAGTTATTACTTTGTTTTATGAGACAAGGTCTCCCTAAGTTGCTAAATTGCCCAGGTTGAGCTCAAACTTGTGATCCACCTGCCTCAGCCTCCAAGAGTTAGAATTACAAGTACACATGGCTTTATTAATATAGGAAAAAACCAAAAATAAAACTATATAATTTTGCTGTAGTAAATTGTATTCTATAAGGAGAAAATGTTTATTAATTTCAAACATGAAATCTCATTGAGAGACTAAAGAGTTAATTCATACGTGTACCAACTCCCCAAGATGCATGTAACCATTGTGTACTGCAAACATGTACTAAAAACAACAAATTTTTGTGGGGGGTACCAGGGATTGAAGCTGGGTCCTTGGATTTGTGCAGCAGGTGGTGAAACCACTGAGCTAAATCCCCAGCCCTACAAATGTTGTGTTTTTTTTGGTACTGGGGATCGAGCTCTGGTCCTTGCGCTTGCGCAGCAGGTGATGAAACCACTGAGCTAAATCCTGGCCCCCAAATGTTTTAAAAACATAAAGAGATCAGAGTTAATTGGTAGTTGGATGTGGTGGCAAATGTCTGTAATCCCAGCTACTTGGGAAGCTGAGCAGGAGTTTCGAGTTTGAGCTCATCCTGGGCAACAAAGTGATACCTTTTTTCAAAAACACCCCCCCCTCCAAAAAAAACAACCCCAATGGACAGAATCCACACCAGCAGATGGGCAAAAGCTGCATATTCACCACCAGCTAACTTTGTGCTCACTGATTCCATGCCCTCCCTGTGGCCACCCACCAACTCAGTCCACTCTGGTTTCCCTTGGCACAGGGCAGCAGAGGGCAATCAGCTGACCTGCCTGATTGTGGGTGAGGCTAGCGTCCTGGAGAGCAGAGAGAGTGATCCCCAGAGGGCTGTTACCTCCAGGGAGAAGTAATGGACCAGGCAAGCAGTGCTAACCCCAAGAAAAGCCAAAAGCTATTGTAAACTACAAACAGTGGGGTTTTGCTCCAAAAGTGACTCCTTCATAAGGCTAGAGTTGGAATAGAAATCCAGGGCAGTGTCCATCATTGGGAGAGAGTTTAATCAGGAGCCATTTGGGGAAGAGGTTAATTGTTTAAGGCTGAGCCACAACAATTCAGGGTCTCCAGTGCTAACCTACCAGAGTGATTAGGTGAGACAGCCACAGAGAGAATGTGGGCTAGATAAAAGAGCCCCTGAGAGGTTCCAGTTCAGGCCAGAAAGGACATGGGGCTGTGCCCGACATGTGAGAACCCAGGGCCAGCAAGTGTGGTTTTCAGAAGCAACTTGGATCTGAAAGTGCTGGTATTCAGTCCTCAGCTTAAACAGCCCTGCTGCCTGCATCCAGTAGAGTCTTGTGGTTCTATTGCTTTTCCTATCAGTGTGAGCAAGGACATACCGTGACTTGGACAACTGTCACAGTCTGTATGGATAGAAGGGCCTTGGGGGCAGGGTACCTCGAAAACTCACAGGCTATAAACCCAGGTGGAGAAAACTGTTTTTCTGGATCCCAAGACTGCAGATCCTGGGAAAAAAAAGTTAACACTCATTCGGAAATACAGAAGAGTATTATTTTAGACTTTTTTTCATTCTACTTTTTATTCCTCATTTTGGGGGGACATTATTTTTTTCTTTAGTTGCTTTTTGAAACAGGGTCTCACTTTGTAGTTCAGGCTGGCCCTGAACTCACTATGTACCCCAGGCTGGCCTCGAACTCTCTGTGATCCTCCTGCCTCAGCCTCCCCAGTGCTGGCACTACAGGCATGTGCCACCACGCCTGGCTCTTGTTTGTTCTTTTCTGTTACTTATTTCCTTTTAATCCTTAATAGGTTACTTTGGCTCAGTTCTCTTCTCATTTTCCACTTTTGCACTCACCCCCATTCTCAGCCTTTTATGTTTTCTTTACTGTTTAAGATATGATCTTGCTAAGTTGCCCAGTTTGGGCTTGAACTTGTGATCCTCCTGGCTTGGCCTTTCAGAGTTGGCCTCCATGCTCAGCTTGTTTTGATTTTTTTTTTTTTTTTTTTTTTTTTTTTTGGTACCAGCGATTGAACTCGGGACCTTGCTCTTGAGAGACAGGCAGTTGTTTTGATTTTTTTTTCTTTTTCTTTCTTTCTTTTTTTTTTTTTTTGGTACCGGGGATTGAACTTGGGACCTTACGCTTTCAAGGCAAGCGCTGGAACCACTGAGCTAAATCCCCAGCCCTGTTTTGATTTTTGAAATGAAGTCTCACTCTATAGACCACACTGGCCTTGAAATTGCTATGTAGCCCAGGCTTTCCTCAGCTTTAAATTCTCCTGTATTAGCCAGGCTAGTACTGGGGTTACAGGTGTGCACCTACCATGCAAGTTTGGAGAAGCTATTTTGCTGATCCAGGTGTTTACCATTTCTGTTCTTAGTTCCTAATAGTCAAAGTTCCCTTCTGATACTGTTTCTTTTAAATTTTTGAAAAATATCCTTCTTTCAGATGTGGTGGCGCATACCTATAATCGCAGCATTCTGGAGGCTGAGGCAGGTGCATCTCAGAATTTGAGGCCAGCCTGGGTTATATGAGTTCATGGCCAAGCTGAACTATATAGTTAGATCTTATCCCAAACAAAACAAAACAAAATATAAAGCAAAAGAAAATATCCTTATGATTTCCATGAGGAAAATCTGAGGCAAATTCTGTAGCTATCTAATTCATTCATTCTCCTGTAGGTCATCTAATGTGCATTATTTTTTCCTGTGGCTGCTTTCAAGATTTTTTTTCTTCAGTATTTAACAATTTGGTTATGATGTATCTGAGTGTGAATTTCTTTGTGTTTTTTTTTTCTGGTTTATAGTCTGCTGAGCTTGAATCTGTAGGTTTTTGTGTTTCACCAAGCTTAAGAGGTTTTTAGTCATTATCCCTTTTTTCAGTACAGCAGCATATTGTTCTCTTTCCTTTTAGCTCTTTTTCTTTTTGTTAGGATTTTGTTTCTGTTAGGATTTAGTTTTAAATTTTTCATTTGTTTCTCCTCTTATCCTCTCTTTCTTTGATGCTATTTTCTTTTTCTTGCCCAAGCCCGTGTAGAACTAGGTTCAAGTGGTCTTCATGCCTCAGCCCCCTAGGGAGCTGGATTTACAGCTGTATAGCCAGCCTGATTTTCTTTTACTTTACTGAAAATTATTGTACCTATAGTGAAAATAGATGACGCTGGCACTGCTGAAATCCAAGTGTTTTTGGTGGGTAAGGTAAGTGAAGCAATGTCTTGCTTAAGGCTAAAAGAAAGAGCCTAGAATGGTGGCATACACCATGGTGGCAGTACTCTGGCAGTCTGAGTCATGAGGATTGCAAGTTCAAGCCAAGCCTGAGAAATGTAGGGTCTTAGTAAGGCTCTGTCCCAAAAATTTTAAAAAGGAAGGACTGAAGATGTAGTTCAGTTTGAAGACATTAGGTTTAATCCCCAGTACTGCCTAAACAACAACAAAAAACACACTAAAATACACATGGAAGTCAGGTTTGGTGATGCAGACTTGTAAACCCAGCACTCAGGAGGCTGAGGCAGTAGGATCAAGTTTTGGAGGCCAATCTGGGTTACATAGCGAGTTCAAGTTCAGCCTGGACCACACAGCCAGACATTGTCTCAAAAAAAAAAAACAACCCCAAAACCAGGTGAGTGTTTTAGCTCATGCTGGTGATCCCAATACTCTGGGAGGCTGAGGCAGGAGAATCACAAGTTCGAGCCTCACCTTGATAATTTAGCAACTTAATGAGATCCTGTCTCAAAAAAATAAAGGGCTGGGGATATAGCTTGTTTGGAAGACCTTGCATTTAATCTCCAGTACCAAAAAGCAAAAACAGCGTCCCCCCCCCAAAAAAAAAACCCAAACCAACAACCACAGGTTTATCTTTATTTAAAATGTTATGGGAGAACCTCATAATGTCTCTGTGGATAAGGAAATCTAGTGACTAGAACTGGTTGGTAAATTGAGCGTGCTAGTGCACACCTGTAATTGCAGCATTCTGGGAGGCTGAGGCCAGAGAATCACAAATTCGAACCCAGTTTGGGCAATTTAGGGATGAAGGGAAATTTGAGAAGGGCTAGTGATACAGTTCAGTGTGAAGGTCCTGGTTCAGTCCTCAATACTGAAAAACAAAAGTGGTTGGTAGCATTATAGAAAGTGGCCCATTTTGCCTACGTTGCATTATGCCACTCATTGAATTTTGCCAAAGAGAGTATTTAAAAAGTGGCCTAAGGCTGGGGATTTAGCTCAGTGGTTTCAACACCTATTGCGCAGGCGCAAGGACCAGAGTTCGATCCCCGGTACAAAAAAAACCCAAAAAACTGGCCCAATTTGAGGCAGTATGAGACCCAAGTCTCAAACAAGGCTCCCTGAAGATAGGGTTCAAGATTATTTATGAGAATAAAAAAGAAAGGGCCGGGATTTAGCTCAGTGGTTCCTCTGTCTGCCTTGCAAGTGCAAAGTCCGAGTTTGATATTATTTTTTGCCAAAAAACCCCCCCAAAACAAAAAAAAAATCCCAGGGTGATCTGAGGTCTAGTAAAAGATGATTAGAAGTAACGAGTGGCCTGCACATGTTTAATCAGACATTGTGGCTCTTCATAAAACACATTCAAGGCAGGCATGTTGTTGTATGCCTGTAATCCTAGCTGAGGCAGGAGGATATCAACCTCAAGCCAGTCTGGAGAATTTAACACTTAGTGAGACCCTGTCTCAAAATAATATACAAGAAAAGGGCTGGGGCATATAGCTCAGTGTGAAGGCCTTGGGTTCAATTGCCAGTACTGCCCCCGCCTCCTGAAAAGATATGTGTTCTGAAATTGAATGCACCTGCGTGCTTTGAGGATGGCGTCTTTGGCCCTGTGATGTCAAATGCTCATCCACTGGACACTTGCGTAGGTCCTAGTGGAGAGTTGGTGGTTTCAACCTATTTGAGCTACCTCCAAGTTCCTGATAAACAACTTAGATAAGTGTTACCATTGTGAGCATTACAGGCAAGGTGTTACCTGGACAAAGCTAATGGGAGTGTACTGCTTAACTACATGACCTCCGCAGTGAGTGATGAAGGCAAGGCACCCACGGGCGATGTGGCACTACCTGTAACCCCAGCTCTCTGTGAGGCTGAGGCAGGAGGATTGCAATTTGAGTCTGCCTGGGCAATTTAGGAAGATCTTGTCTCAGAATCAAATAAAATAGGGCTGAGAATGTAGCTAAGTGGTATCAAAATTTCTTGGGCTGGGGATTTAGCTCAGTCATTCCGGCGCTTGCCTTGCAAGCGCAAGGTCAGTTCTGAGTTTGATCCCCAGTACCAAAAAAAAATTTCTTTTCTTTTTTGTTTTTTTGAGGTAGGGTCTCACTATGTAGTACAGGCTGGCTTTAAACTTGCTATGTAGCCCAAGCTGGCCTGCAAGTTGCCATACCTTAACTTCTTGAGTGCTGAGATTATAAGCATGCACCAGCACACCTGGCTAACAAATGATTTTAAAAAGTCAATAAAAGCCAGATGTGGTGTCACATGTGTTCAATCCCAACACTAGGGAGGTCATGGCAGGAGGAGTGCAGCAAGTTTAAGGCCAGCCTGGGCTAGATAGTGAGTTCCAGGCCAGCCAGGGCTATATACTAACTCTGTCTCAAAAAACAAAACAACAGGCCAGGGATTCAGCTCAGTGGTGCCACCAGCAGCCTTGTAGGCACAAGGTCCCAACTTTGATCCCCAGTACAAAACAAAAACAACAACAACAACAACAAAAAAGGTAAATTATTATTTTAAAAATAGCACCACTCAGTTGATCAAGCCCCAAAGAGAAGAATTATCCTTGATTCTTTCCCTCCATCCCACATTCAACAACTATCACATTCTTTCAATTATGTCTTAAAATATATAGTCTGAAATTATATACATATCTATATTCTGAAATCAATATTTTTCATCATTTTTTTCTTTTTGAGATAGGGTCTCACTATGTATTCCAGGTTGTGGCCTTGAACTCACTATGTAGCCCAGCCTGGCCTTGGACTCCTGGCGATCCTCTTCCCTCAGCCTCCTGAGGGCTGGGTTTATAGACATTCATGCAGCACCAGATCTGGCCACTTTTCATCATCTTAATGCTTCAATTCTATGTTCAGTTCTAGATCTCATCACTGGGCTACTGAAAGGTCTCCCATTTCACCCAGTGCTTCTATTTGTTACTGCCTTCACAACAATGTATTCTCCCTAGACAGAAATAAATCTTTTAAATGTAAATATTGGAGATATAGTTGAGTGATAGAGTGCTTGCTTAGTATGTGTGAAGCTCTGGGTTCAACTCCCAGTAGACCCCCCCCCACCCAAAGGTAAAGATTATTGTGACACTTTTAGTGGAAATTCTTCCAATAGGTTCCACCCTAGAATAAACACGAAACTCTTCATAATTCTATGGAAGACACACTACATCTGGCCATGGTTTACCTCTCCAAACTAGTTTACTTTACTTAAGCAGTATTGGTTTATTTTTCCATTAACCTCATTCCACAAGCTGGTTCATGTCCGTAATCCCAGCCCCTTGGGAGGCTAAGGCACAAGGGTGGAAAGGTGGAGCTCAGTTTGGGCAATTTAGCAATTGAACAAGACCCTGGTTCAAAATAAAAATGAAAAAATGTCTCGGGATGCAGCTCAGTGCAAGAGCCCTGGGCTTAATCTCCAGTATCGCAAAAAACAAAAACAAAACCACATTTGAGACAACAAATTAGTCAGTGATGGACAGCAACACAAGTCAAAGGAATTTAGAATACTGAAAAGACAGCTGGGCGTGTTGGCGCATGCCTGTAATCCCAGCACTTGGGAGACTGAGGCAGGAGGATCTTTAGGAGTTTGAGGCCAGCCGGGTCTACATAGTGAGTTCAGAGTCAGTTTGAACTACAAAAGGGAGACCCTGCCTCAAACAAACAAACAAACAAACAAACAGAGCTCTTATCCAAATATATAAAAAACTCAACATAGAATACTGAAAAGATTCCTTCTTCAGTGAGTTTAATGTAGGAAGGCCAGTTTTTACTCTAGTGGTGCTAGTTACTCAAACCAGGGCTCACGCATGCTTAAGATGCACTCTGCCACCGATCTATAGACTCAGAGTAGAAAAAATGGAACTTGTTCTCTTTTCTTTCTTTCTAGTTTTTATTCATTCATTTATTTTTATTTTATTTTGGTACCAGGGATTGAACTCGGGTCCTTGTGCTTCTGCAGCAGGTGGTGAAACCACTGAGCTAAATCCCCGGCTCGTTTGTATATTTATTTTTGTGTACTGAGGCTATACCAGGAATTTTCTTCCATTCTTAGCCCCTTTATTTATTTTTTTATTTTGAAACAGGATTTTGCTAAATTTCCCAGGCTGGTCTTGAATTTGCAATCCTTCTGCCTCAACCTCAAGAGTAAATGGGATTAAAGACATGCACCACCAACATTCCATATCTTTTGTTAGCTAAAATTCAAAACGTTAGTCTGATAAACGGCACACTATGAATATTCTATTTAATCGGTGCCAACTGATTGAGTGCCTAAAGCGAAGGGGTGATATTTTGGGCTAGTTATTTGTGTGTGAAGCAAAGGGTTGTTTGGCTATAGTTACTTGTACGTGTACTCTCTCAATCTCTATATCTATAATACTTCTATATATAGCTCCATCCCGAGGGCGTATTTTCGGGGAGGTATTTTTTTCTACTAAACGTCCCTCTTCCTTTGTGCTAAGACCTTATGAGTAGTGCTGTATCGGCCAATTCTTTACAAAAGCCATTACTATTAATAAGCTACATCTTCGTGGAATTATCGTTAGCATTACATTCGCTAATACATACGAGGTACTAAAGTAAACGAAAGACCGCTGATCGTTCAATAAATCAATTGATTTATTGTATAAATGTAATCGAGGAAATGACAATGGTGAGATCTTGATTAAGATAAGGGAGATGGAAAACTGAGGTAAGGAGTCAGGCGCCGTTCTCCAAAGGGGCTCAATTGACAAGATTACCTCCGCGCCTCTTAGGTCACCACCTGCTCTGCTCCGGGCTGACCACGGGCTGGCCCGCCAGGCTCCGGAAGGTAAACACCGCGGGGGGCGTGGCCAAAGGCGGGCTCGGGATGAGCGAGTGGCCAGAGCCAAGTGATTGGCAGCTGCCATGTCCACGTGCTTTGGGCTTCGAACCAGCTGTCGCGAGAATTCGATGTAAACAGACCGAGTCTCCCCGTCCTCTGGTCCAAATCTGAGACGCTTGGGTGAGGAGCCTCGGGCGTGTTGCTTTTTTTTTTTTTGGTATCGGGGATCGAACTCAGGTCTTTGCGCTTGCGCAGGAGGCGACGAAACCACTGAGCTAAATCCCTGGCCCTCGTGTTGCTTTTTTTTTGGGAAAAAAAAAAAGCCACGAAGGTTTTGTCTGCACATAAAATAGACTTATTCGTAATTCTCCATTTGACACAGCAGCTTCAACCGAATTTACATACTGTTGTGTTTACCCTCCAGCCCCAGCGGATTGGGTAAATCCAGGAGGCGGGTCCGCCTCTTTTCTACTTGCTGGTTGGCGAAGCTGACCTCCAAGGGCGGTGCCCGGCCCCGGACAGTTCGCTTTTGGGATTGGCCGGCGGGGTGGTTCCGCTGAGGCGTGGTAGGAAGTGGTAGCCGTCAATCACGAGGGAGACTCCAAACAGTGAGCCCTGAGCTGAAGAACAGCGTTTACCGGCGGACCGGCCGGTGAGAGGACTGGCGGGTCTTTAGCTTTGGGGAGCCTTAGAGGAGGCGAGGGGCAGGCAGCGAGAGGGGACAGGGCTTGGCTGGCAGTAGTTCGACGGGGTAGAGATGTCGAGATGGCGGGGGAGGGGAGAAGGGCAGGGGGCCAGAGGGCGGCCGGGGTCAGCGGTGGCTCCGCGTTGGAGACCGAGTGGGCAATGTTGTGGCAGCGTCTTTCAGGGACGCGAGGTCTGAGGAGTTGCTGAGGGTTGCCCTCAGGTGACAGAACCCTTAGACAGGGCTGCGTAGACTGATTCGGGAGAGAAAGGGTGGAATGGAAATGAGAGGGCTCGGGGGGCTGGAGGTGAAGGGTACCCCTTAAGGGGTAGCTGGGCTAGTTGGGCAAAAGGTGTTTTGGTTGTAGAAAGTGGGGCTCATCAGCTTGGGAGTTTTAATACAAGGTGATAGGGTGCTCCCTATTTAGAAGTGATGCTTTCAGGTTCTTTCAGGGTTAGATCCGGGCTGTGGGCTTTCATGAGTCCTGTGGAGATCTTTAATATTGCTGTTGGACCTCTTTTAACCTTCCCCAGGTAGTCTCTGTGCTCTTCTCAGTGATTCAGAGGCTCCTTCAGGGCTCAGGATTTAGGGATGGGATTGGAAAGGATAAGGGGCTTCGCACACCTTGTAAGTTTCTATTACATACTTGTGTAGCCTGATTAAGTTATAATAGCCAGAGATTACAAATATAGTTTAATTGTGGCCATGCAGTTTTATTTGTAGATTCTCAAAAGGTTTTATAAGCTAGAGTGATATCATGTCACTATTCCATTGGTCTTGAAATATTCTACCATATGTAATGTAACTATCTCAGCAGAAATTTAAGTAAAATTTTAAAATTTGGCTCACAAAGGCTTTTGCACGTTTATTTTTCTGATCCCGTGTTACACTTGCCTGTTATGATCTTGTTCTCTTTCTAGTTTTTGTTAGAACAAAAGAGTCTAGCAAGTCTTAACTGGTTTTGTGGTTCCAAGGTTTAGATAAAAAACTCTCATGATAATTTGAAAAAAATTTTTTTTGGGAGATAGAGTTTTGCTTTGTAGTTCAGTTTGGCCACGAATGTACTGTGGAGTGGCCTTGAATTTGCAGTGATCCTCCTGCCTCAGACTCCTGAGTGCTGGGATTACAGGTGTGCACCACCATGCCCAGCAGATAATTTGGAATTTAAAAAATCTACTTCTTTTGTTGCTTTTCTAGTGTAATAGAAATTTCTGGGAATCTTTCCTCAAAGGATCTCCATTGAGTAACCATTTCTGTGTTTTTGTTCTGGAAACAGGTTTTATGAGTGAAGCTATGGCTACAGATTCTCCTAGAAGACCCAGTCGATGCACTGGTGGAGTTGTGGTTCGCCCTCAGGCTGTCACGTAAGCATGTTTCAGATAAGCCCAGTAGCTGATGCAATCATTACTTAGAAAAATAAGTAACATTCACATTTTCTTTTTGAATATGCTTAGTTTATAAAAATTTAATTTTGGGGGCCTGGGGATTTAGCTTAGTGGTTCTGCTGCCTGCCTCGAAAGCGCAAGGTCCTGAGTTTGATCCCCGGTACCAAAAAATTAATTTTGGGTTTACAGGTTGAATATCTTTGTCAAGGCCAAATAAAAGGAACAATTGGAGAGCTTATGGCTTGTGTTTAGATGTCTCCCCTTGCTGGGCATGGTGGCACACACCTGTAATCCCAGCACTTGTGAGGCTGAGGCAGGAGGATTGCTGCGAGTTCAAGGCCAGCCTGGGATACATAGGGAGACCCTGTTTCAATAAAACAAAAAGACCCCCCCCCCCGCCCCGCCAAAAACCCTCATGTGGTCTTAGGTCTTAGGTGGTGAGTTTTTAGAGGTGGCTGAATCTAGAGTATGTGATTGATTCATGGTGCAGTGCTAGAGCTGAGGGCACTGCGATTAAGGGTGTGAGTGTATCTGCTATAAGTAGTCTGAATAAGATAAAAGGGAGAGAAAGATGCTGTTAAGGTCTCTCTTGTTGCTTTTGCTACCTTGTGGGCACCACGAACTGTTTCTGCTTTGAGATGCCCCTCTGTCATGTGCCACTCTACCTTGGAGCCCGCAGATTATGGACTGAAACCTCTACAAACTGAGTTAAATAAAACTTCCCCTCTTTAACTTTGGGTGTTGGGTATTTTGTCTCAGCAATGAGAGAAAAGTAACAAAGACAATTAGGTTGATGTATTCATATATTTAAAAGTAACTGAAGAACACTGTCAAATCTTGAAGAGCAGTATTTCTTTCAAACTCCAGGTTTTAGAAATTAGTGGATCTGCCTACAGTGGTAGCACACGTGTATAATCTTAGCACTCTAGGAGGCTGAAGCAACAGGATCACAAGTTCCAGCCCAGCCTGGGCAATTTAGCAACTTAGAGAAACTGTATATATATATACACACACACACACACATATACATGGGTTGAAGATGTAGTTAGTGCAAAGGCCCTGGGTTCAATCTCTAGTTCCCCCAAGGCAAGAAAATTAGTGGTATGATACATCCAGTTAGTTTGTCAGGATCAGTATTTTAAAAAATGAAATGTAGGGTACTTTCCCAGTGTGCTCAAGGCCCTGGGTTTGATGTGCAGCACTACAAGCACTACCGTATATGGTCAGAAAATACAGGTAGTTCAGTTAACATTGTTTTGTGATATGCACAAAGTTATGCACAAAGTTATACTCGTGTATATGTATGATCACTAGATTATGATTTAAAATGTATACCACACTCTAGGTTTTAGTCAGAATTTTTTTTTTTTTTGTACTGAGGATTGAACCCACTGAGCTCCATTCCCAGCCTTAAATTGCCCAGGCTGGGCTGGAATTTATAATCCTCCCGCCTTAGCCTTCTAAAGTGGTGGGATTAAAGGCATGTGCCACCATGCCTGCTTTATATTTTAGGCATTCTTTGACAAAGGATATTTATATTTTGTAGGAGTTTATAATCCAACATGGCTTAAAGAAATATATGCTTGAAATTAGTGTAAGTTTTTTATTTTTTGAAACAAGTTCTCACAATTCAGGCTGACTTTGAACTCACTATGTAGTTTAGGCTGCCCTCAAATTTTCAGTGATCCTCCTGCCTCAGCCTCCCAAGTGCTGGGATTGCAGGCATGTACCACCACACCAGGCTAGTGTAATCAGTAAGAAAAAAAGATGCCAGCAAAATAGCATGAGAATTTAGGGGGAGTATTTTAGTAGTGGGATCAAAATGTTTTAAGGTAACTCTAGGATAAGTAGTATTTGGGCTCTTAGAATCAAAGGCACATTTTAGGCAAAGGGAATACAGTGAGCAAATATAGGAAAGCTAAGGTATTTTTTTTCTTTTTTTGGTACCGGGGATCGAACTCGAGTCCTTCTGCTTGCAAGGCTGGTGGCGAAACCACTGAGCTAAATCCCCGGCCCTCATTCAGTGTTCTTTTAACAAATAATGCTTGAGCATTTACTACATGCCTAAGTACTGGCCAACAGGTTCTGGAGATAAAAGGCATGTATGAGAAATGGATTCTTTCCTATATTAAAGCTTATATTCTAGTGGGGGGAAATAGTAAATACACAAGTAAATGAATAGTTACAGGATGTCATCTGTGCCCAGTGTCATGGTGGAGAATGATGGATGATTATGGATAAGGTTGTCAGGAATGTTCTCTCAGAGAAGCAATAGCTAAGCTGGAAGTACGACTTTTTTTTTTTTTTGAAACAGGGTCTCATACGTAGTTCAGGCTGGCCCTGAACTCACTATGAAGCCCTACTGTGATCCTCCTGCCTCAGCCTCTTACAGGTGTACACCACCAGACCCAACTAAGATATTACTTTGAAAGAAAGTGTATGGGAAGGTATTGAGCAGAAAGCATGGTGTAAAGGTCTTGATTCAAAGAGAAACTTGTATTCTAGGAATTGAGGTTGTGTAAAGGTGAAGCAGACTAAGTTAGAATGGCAAAAAAAATGGAAGTCAGGTTCTAATCTCTCTCTCTTCTCCCTTCTTTTTTTGTTGCTGTTTGTTGAACCCAGGGGTTCACACATGCTAAAACATGTGTTCTGCCAAAGTTATCCCTAGTTCCTACACTACTCTTTTTTTTTTTTTTTTTTTTTTTGCAGTAATGGGGATCAAACTCAGGATCTTGCACTTGAGAGGCAGGTGCAGTGCCACTGAGCTAAATCCCCAGCCCTGTTGTTTGTTTTTATGCTTAACCAAATGTTATCAGTCTCAAAAGCATATTGCTAAGACATATTGTTTGTTCTAAGATTTAGAACAACATTATTTGCTTTTTTTTCTTTTTCTTTTTTTTTTGAGACAGGGTCTTACTGTGTAGTTCTGGCTGGTCTTAAAACTCACTATGTAGCTCAGGGTGGCCTCCAATTCATGACGATCCTCCTGCCTCAGCCTTCTGAGTGCTGGGATTATTGGCATTGTTTTCTAAAAGTATAATTTTTTCTCATCTTCCGTAAAATAAATTTAGTATGTTACATGTATTTTTGCTCACTGAGTTACATCTTTAGCCCTTTTATTTTTTATTTTGAGATAGTCTTCCTAAATTGCCCAATCTAGGCTAGAATTTGTGATCCTTCTGCCTGACCCTTGCAGAGTGCTGGGATTAAAGGTATGTGCCATCATGCCCAGCTGATTTAGTGTTTTGTTTTTTCTTTTCTTTTTTTTTTTTGGGTACCGGGGATGGAACTCAGGACCTTGTGCTTGCAAGGCAGGTGCTGGAACCACAGCTAAATCCCGAGCCCGATTTAGTGTTTTGAAGAAATTGTTACTCGATGACATCCATATACTTCCCATGTAAAATATTTCCCCTAGTTCCAACCCATGGGCATGCTACATCCTCTGTCTGATCTATGTCTAGCTACTGCAGTACTGAAGATTAAACCCATGGGCCATTTACCATTGAGCTATATCCCCCACCCATTTTTTTTTTTTTTTTTTTTGAGACAGGTTCCATGCTACCCAGGCTGGCCTGGAAGTTATACTCTTCCTGAATCACCTCCCAAGCAGCTGGAATTACAGATGTGTGCCGCCACATTTAAAATATCTCCAGAGGTGGACATGTTGTCACATGACTATGATCTCAGGACTTGGGAGGCTGAGGCAGGAGGATGGCAAGTTTGTGGCCCACTAGGGCTACATAGCGAGTTTAAGACCAACCTGGACTACATAGGAAGACTGTCTCACAATCTGTATCAATATTTATGTGTCTCAGTAGTAGAGCTCTTGACTACCATATGTGAGACCCTGAGTTCAATTTCCAGTACTGAAAAAAAAATCAAAACCAAAAACTTCACTTAGTGTCCTTGACAATGTTAACTTTCCTCGCTTTTATAAAGTTTAATGTTTTTCTGTGCTTTGTGTGTGCCAAAAGTTCTGTAAGGACTTTTAAAATTTTTGTTGTAGTACTTGCTCCTGCAGCAAAAATACAGACTGATTTTGCAATATACAGGTCAGGGACTCAGTTCACAACCAGTTTAAAGAGAAAGCTACTAAATATAGGATCATTAGCCACAGTTTTTCTTGCTCCAGTAGGGTGTTCTACTAGTCTGGCTCAAGAGTAAGGTGCTGCCTTAGCTAGGTCTACTGTATTCATGCTTTCGCATATGAGGTGGATGTTACCTCTAGCAAATTAGGAAAACATGATTTTTTAAAATAAATAATATTTTAATATGCTAAAACTTAGAAAGTGGGCAGGCAGAATTATCAGGTGATAAGATTTGCCTTTTTTCTTGTTTTTATATGAATGACTTTGTTAGGGCTCATCAGTAGAGCTTTCCCACGTCATAAGCTGTGATGACAAATTTTATCCATTTTACCCTTTTCCAGAGAGCAGTCCTACATGGAAAGTGTTGTGACTTTTCTGCAGGATGTTGTGCCACAGGTAAGTGACGATGTGTGATTGCAAAAATAGTAGTTTTAACTCTGGCCAGGGAAGTGTTCTGTTTCCAGAACTTCACATTAGTGTGAGCAACTTCAGAAAGTCTTTCGATGTTTTAGCATCCTGAGCATGGGTAGGGTGGAACTATGTTTGTTACTGTATAGATGGGCCACAGTTTTGTGATGACAGTGGTGTGAGTATGACTGCTTAGGACTTGCTCTTCTAATAGGAATGAAAGCGAGTCGCTAGATGAGAGTTGGGATGTGGGACTCTAGCTGGATTCTGTCTCCAAAATCTTTATTTGTTTTGGTCCAAGTTAAGAGACATCTAGGGGTAAGGTATAGCTTTTTCTGAAATTTAACATAAGTTATCATTTAGCATATTTTTGAAAATAATAATTAACAATGTCTACACTTCTCTCCCAGAGAGTCTGATACAGTGATAGTCAATGTAATATCTAGTAACTTATATTTATAGTACAAGTGTCAGGTGATTATTATTTTCTCCTTGTGATGTCAATCTTCTGACTGCTATGGTGGTTTTTCAGTTTTTTGGGGGTTTTTTTTAGAGATGAGGTCTCACTATATAGTTCAGGCTGGCCTTGACCTCATGGGGATCCTCCTGTCTCAGCCTTCCCATTGCTGGGATTACAGGCGTGCACCACCATGCCCTTGCCATGTGTTTTTAACTGTCTGCTCTAAAAGGACACTTATAAATCCAGTACTGCAGGTTTTTTTTCTTCAGTACTAGGATTTGAACCCAGGGCCTTCACACTGAGCCATATCCCCAGGCTTTTAAAATTTATTATTTTTTTATTAAGTTGCCCAGGGTAGGCTGTGACTTGCAGTCCTCTTGCCTCAGCCTCCCAGAGTTCTGGGATTACAGGAATGCGCTGCCTTGCCAGGCCAGTACTTTAGTATTTTTTTTTTTTGGTACCAGGGATCGAACTTGGGACCTTGCGCTTGCAAGGCAGGCGCTGGAACCACTGAGCTAAATCCCCAGCCCCAGTACTTTAGTGTTGTGAGAGGATCCTAGAAAATAAAATTTTAGTTGTATTGAACAAAATGTATTCCTGAGGTAAGGGAAAGTACTAAGGAATGTTGTGTTATTATGTTTTATTATTCCTTCATTATATTCAGCCAGTGAAGAAAATAGGCCACAGCAACAAGGTCTGCGGCACATGTAAGGAAAGAGAAATGCTCCCCTTTCTCAGGCAGTTGGCTGACAAATCAAATTGCTCGGAGCAATCACAGATTATTAATAGCAACAAATGAGTGTTACCCACATAGCAAACTGAATATTTAATTGGTAAGGGGATGCAGAGAAAGAAATGAAGTTCTCAGAGACGCCTGAAGTAGCATTAACTGAAATGGAGAGAAAGGTTGGATATTTGATTTTGAAGGAAACTGGCTGGCTGGATGTAGTAGGCAGTGGGATTCTGTGGCAAAGAGCGTTAGGCGGGGAGAGGGATGGGGGCTGAAACGCATTGTTGTTCTGTTAAGCAGGGGCACTGCCCTGAGGCTACACTTCCAAGGAAGTCTTATTTTACATTTTAAAAATTT